AGTACAATTCTATGAAAACCTTTTATTTGGTTTGTGTCACGTATCATGTATATGCTTATACATACACATACACACACACACAGAGTGGTACAGCATATGTTCACATGCCCACATGTGCATGTGTGGTACACTTGTACAGTACACAGGACATTTTTGAACATATTTATTGGTGCAATGGATAAATAGGCAAAAAGGAATGTGGTGAGACTGAAAAGCCAGCACCACCTCCACTACCTCCCATGACGTCCATGTGCCCGTCTGGTCTCTGGCTTTTCCAGCTTGTCATTGTGCATTGTGGAGAGCCCAAGGACACATGGCCATGGGATGGATGCTCATCATCTCAGGGTTGTGTCATGGAAGGTCTACCAGTACAACAGGCCCTGCCTGGGCAGTGGTGAGCTCATGGGTCCTCATCTCTGAAGAGTGTGAGGTTGTGCTTCTGGATGTGCCCCAGCAGGACCTGACCTCGCTGCTCCAGGGTCTGGAGGACCTGCTTCAGCCCCTGGGTGCCACCTTGGCTCTCCCAGAACACCGGGTCCATCTGCAGCGACTTGAGCAGAAGATTCTGTAGACACCCTGATGCGAGAACCCGCACAGCCGATGCAGGAAACCTAGAGCAGAGTTCCCAGAGCCCCACGATAGAAAGGAAAAGCACACGTGACCTCAGAGAGCTCCAGTGGAAGGGGAAGCCAGATGGCCAGAACTTGCACAGCCAGAGAAAGCCGACAAGGTCAACCTACAAAGCCACTATGCCTGCACCTGCTATCTTGTTACCAGGGACTCCTTGATTTGCTATGCTATGAAAGCAGAGGACACAGTTCTCAGAAGGGTCTCATCTCACAGAGAAGCCCAGTGACTCAACTCTGCCACCTTGGGCTCAACTTGGGAAATGCGTGACCAGAAGGAGCCCTGGGAAGGCTGAGCTGTCCTCCCAGCTCCCAGGCCTGCCCTCCCATCAAAGCAAGGGAAAGGAGACCTTCTGCACTTCAGCAGGGCAGCTGGTGTTCTGCAGGATCGGAGGCCCTCTGGATATCGGGGGTAGACCTGCCAACTGCATCCCCTCTCAGCTTTCCCGGACTCCCCATCTCTCCTGAAGTTCAGATCCAACAGCTTTGGTCTGATGGACTGTGGCTTCTCCAGAACCATAGTTCAAGGCCCCAGAGTCATCAGCAGGGGCTTCAAGCCTCATGCCATGCACCTGCACCCAGCCCCTTGGACTCTCACCCATTTATGCCTTCCAGCAGCCGGAAGTCGAGCTTGTCTTCAGGGTGCTGAAGGTGACCAGCATTGTCAATGTAGACCAGGTGAGACGGATTGCTGCTCCGGACCTCAGAGGAGGAAGGTGGGAAAGCAGAGGCAGTGTAACTGGCGTCTGTGGACTCTGTCAGTGCTAAAGGGGCTGGGGGCCCAAGCTGTCAATCCCACAAACCCCAAATAATTAGTCCCCATAGCTGAGGGCCTACTCTACACCAGGCACTGTGCCTTATGTCAGTGAATCCTTCCAGCAACCTTAGGAAGAAAGCACTAACAGGGACCTCATTTTACAGAAACAAGGACATAAAAAAGTTAGTTGAGCCAGGCACCAGTGGCTCACGTCTAGAATTATAGCTACTCAGGAGACAGAGATCAGGAAGATCACAGTCCGAAGCCAGCCCAGGCAAATAGTTTGTGAGACCCTGTCTCGAAAAAAAAAAAACCCTCACAAAAAAGGGCTGGCAGAGTGGATCAAGGTGTAGGCCATGAGTTCAAACCCCAGTACTGCAAAAAAACAAAAAGTTAATTGAGTCACACGAGATCACACAGCTAATAAGTTGCCAGGCTGGTTCAAAGCAGGCCCACAGAGCTCAGCCATGGCAGCACCTGCTAAATTGCAAGGTAGGGGGCTGACTCCTACTTTGGTGGCACAGGGATGGGAGCATGGGTGGAAAACAGCAGTGCAAAAAGGATCCTACCCATCAGGGCATGGGCATTGCACACGTGCACACCCATACCTGCTGCACCCACAGACTCACCGCTTCTGCCACCTGTGCCCATGCCCTTGGGCACACCCCAGAGAACCCCTCAAGCATAATCAAGAACACATGGCAATGTCCTTTATCCCCAGAAAACACTGACCATACCCTTATTTCCACAGGAAGGAAGTTCAACATCTCCTATATCTTTTCCAAATTAAAACCAGCCACAGGGAATTCTTTAGGGCCTTAGAAAACATGGTGTGGTTGGGAATGGGAGGCCATCTCTTCTGGCCCCACTCACATGTACACACTCCATCCCATGCTATTTTCCCATGCTATTTTCCCATAATCCTCTGTAGCAAGTTAGGCTTGCATTATGGACTTTTTTCTCTCTCTGCCTGTTCTTCCTTTCATTCAAAGGCCCAGTTCTCAAACTCTGCTTCCAGTAGCCCCCAGGGTCCCTTGGAGTCTCTTGGGGAGGGGAGGGTAATGGAGGCAGTGAAAACAGTGCTCCAGTCCCTATGCCACCTCAGCCACTTACTCAAAGCTCCATTTTGTCCTTTTTATATATTAGGGCTTCCTGAAACTATTCTTTGAGCAAAGGGTTCTGCTGCTAACAATAGGATTAAAACCCCAGAGTCAGATCATTTCTGAAACTTGCCACCAGCACTTCTGCAGAAGAAAGGAAGATCTGGATCCAGGGTGACAAGGGACGGCGGGTGCAGAAGAGACGTACCAGGATGTGAACCAGCCGCAGCTCGGCGGGGTTCCGGCATTTCTCTCGGAGCCTCTCTTCCACACAGGGGTCTGAGGGCTCAGGCTCGAAGCCACAGCAGTAGCGGTCCAGGCGGTCATGAACCTGTGGAGGCAGCAGCCTCTGAGGGGCAGCACAGCACCTGCCTCCACCAGGCCCAACACCAAGGCCACCTGGCCTGTGGTACCCTGTGCCATATCAGGGCCACTCTGAGGCGATACTCAGGGACTCTGTTGATCAGCTGTACCCTGTCCTCCAGCTAGGAATAGGTCTCCACTTTGCTCACCTTGCACCGCACCAGGCCAGTGTAGATTTCATCCACTGCCCACTGCTTAACCTGCACTGCTATGCTGAGCTCTGACCTGGTACCCTGGGGCCTCCAAGTCTGACCCTTTGCCTGTCTACCTAGGGAACCTGCACAGGACTCCACTTGTTTCTTAAGCAGCAAACACTATGTCAGAGTACAAGTCCTTTCATGATCAGCTAGACAGCCCCCAGTAGTCAGCTGTTTCCCTGGGGCAGCCTGGGAAGGAGGGCATCCCCATTACAGGCTCCTTTGCACTTGAAGGCCTGATGGGGGCTTCCCAAGTGTGATGAGGAGCTCTGCACCCATCCCCACACATGCACACACAGATGACATCTCAACATTTTGGAGTTAAAGGTATAACAGGAAAAGAGGCCCATAAAATGCTTACAGCTGTATTAGTTAGCCTAATAACTAAATCATCTCACTAGCGGGCCTGCTTTGCTCAATGGCTCAAATTTAACTGGTCTTTTCTTTGTGCTCTTCTACTCCTCACCTGCCGAGCCATCACACTGTCAGTGAGGGCCACTCAACTACCTGCTGGACCACCATGCTCCTCAAATCCAGGAGGATTTGAGGAAAGAGACAGGAAGCCTTTGTCAACAGGACTTGCAGCTTCTGAGACTGGCACTTAGCCTGGGAAATACACCAACTCCCCAGATAGGGAGGAAGGGAGGTGAGTGAGTAACGGAATCACCATCACTTATAGGACGGCCAAGTCAGGGAAGACTCACTCTTCTTCCCTCTTCAGAAGGAAATTTGCTTTGATACAACTCCTTGACTGCGTGCTTAGGTAAAAAGTGAGCTCTCAACAGGTCTGGGTATGGGAGGAATTGCTTTGCTTGGGGCTGTGGAGGGAAGAGAGCAGCTGGTAGGGGCGAGGTGAGCAGGGAGCAGTGGCAGACTGAGAGTATGAGACATGGTGTAAAGTAAAGCCAGGAGCCCTTGCGAAATGGTTGATGCATGTGGAGGAGGGGCTGAGCTTTGAGTTCGGGTATGGAACAGGACAAATCAAGGTAGTACTCATGGCACCAGAAACAGGAAGAGCCTGCTGCCTGGGATTTCTCCCATGTACAGTCAGGAGCTTGAGTCATTTCCTTAAATCTCCAGGTGGTGGTGGGAAGCATCGGTCAAGGTGATGCCTAACTCTTAGGCAATAACTTGTACTAAGGTCCCCAAAGAGCCCTGTGGGGAAGGAGACTCTACCCATTTTTGCAGAGTGGCTAAATTAGAAAGCCTGGGGACACACTGGGGAGAGGAAGACATCAGGGTAGGGTGTCTGCTAATCAGATCTCAGCTCCTGGCTACTGTCCAGGTCAAGTTAAAGGGGACATAGTCAAGGCGAAGGTGAGTGAAAGTCAGCAGAGGAAGACAGATACAGGAAGCAAGATGGCACTGAATGAGATAAGATGTGATATAGTAAAAAATTAATCTGCCCTTTGTCAGGGTTCCTGGCACAGAGCTCCTAGAATCCTTGTAGGTTCCCACACAATAGCAATCTTTTATTATCTATAATGAACCCCTTTGGGTCATTCCTGTGTTTATGTTAATGAGGTTACACAGGGTGGGGTTCCTAGAGAGTGGCAGGATGGGCGCTGGTCACCAGAAAGACACATGAACAGAAAATGGCAACACTCAGACCCCCACTTCCCCAGCTGCACCCCTGCAGAGAGGGTGGGAGAGCTGGAGTTTGCATTAGAAGAACTGGTTTTTTTTTTTGGCTGCACTGGAGTTTGAACTGAGGGCCTCACGCTTACTAGGCAGGTACTCTTACTATTCAACCACTCCATCAACCCTAGAAGAACTCTTGAGCAGTGAAAATCAGAAAGCTTCCAGATGAATGAATTCATTGTGGGTAATTAGTGTGGCACACACCAACTACAGGGACACAGCTGCACATAGGCCCTTCCAGACCTCCCCCTCTATCTTTTCATCTGGCTTTTCACTTGTGTCCTTCATAATAAACCATAAATGTAAGCAAAGTGTTTTCCTAAGTTCAGGTGTCATTCTCATCAATTATCAAGCTTGAGGAGGTCAGCAGATCCCTCAATTTGTAGCCTGTCAGTCAGAAGTACAGGTGACCCAGGTCTTGCATCTGGTATCTGAAATGGGGACTGAGTCTTTTTACTTGTGGGATTAATAGTGACTCCAGGTAGACTGTCAGAACCTGAGTTATTTTTTGGGCACCCAGATGGTGCTGAATTGACTGATGTCCAAAAAACATGTCCCTGAGATGGCCAGTGTTGTCGCCTCTGTCTCATTTGCTCTTTGCAGCTTTGCAAAGAGCATTATTGTCCTCATTTCACTCTGGGGACACTGAGCTCAGTCATGCCCAAGGTCATCAATACAGAATGGCTACAGATGGGGCTGGAATTTGATGAGTTGTGTTTCCCTGTTCGAGGAGAAGGTGGGCTGCACACCCACCTAGAGGGGAAAAGGATGGCAGTGCTGGCTAAAGCTGAGCTGGTCTGTGTGCCAGCTAGCCAAGCAGAGACCATGGAAGATAGACATGGGTCACATGGATGCACCCATGCCTGTGCAGCCTCTGCTGTCTTGGGGGTTTGGGGCTCTGGGTCTTCCTGTGCTTCCTCTTCCTCCTTCAGCTTTCTGCCCTAATCAGCGAGCACCACATTAGTTAATTCCATGATGAGTAGTGATGGGCCTTTCATCTCCATCAGTGACTTTCACTTCCTGTTCCTCAGGGAGGCAGGACAGGTACCACAGAGTGTGGACTAGTCAGCTATGCACAGTGCTCATTAGAAGACCTGTGAGGGAACTGCCTTCCCTGCTGTGCATTGTCTGTCAAGGTCCCAGTCACAAGACAAGCTTCCCTGACCACAGGCTCTCTCTCCAGCCCTTGGCTGACTCCTCAGGCTTCCCAGGGCTCTTTCTTCCATTCCCTGGCATTCTTAATGTCTTACCAAAACCAAATTCTTTCCTAGCTAATGTCAACCAAAGTCTCTGTTGCCTGGAATCAAACTGCCTGTAAAGTGCTGCATCCCCTGAGTTAAATATGCTTAGCTGCTAAGACTTGGGTGAATTCTCTGGGGGCCCTACCCTTGAAGCTGGGACTCACTTGCAGAAGGTCCCCACTGACAAGCGCCCAAGTAGAAAGGAGCCCTCTGGTCCCTGGACAGGCTTGGCCCATCCATGCAGCAGACTGAAAGTGCCAGAAAATTAACATCTCTCCCACCCCAGAAGCAACCTTTAACCAGTGGAGTTGTACAGTGCTCTCTGCTGGCTGGAGGAATGCTGTCCTGTAGAAGTTGGCCACAGCCGCTTGAGGGCCTCCTCTGGGTGCAGCCTGGCTCACATGCAGCAGCAACCTGCTCATTTCTTCCCTGTTCCACCTTCCCACTTGCTTTTCACACTTCCTAGGACCAACCTCCTAAATGAACTGCTGCTACCCATATCCTGTCTCTAGGTCTGTTTTGAGTGAACTCGTATGGAGGTCACACGATCTCTGTTGCTGTGGCATACTGGATGTATTTGACAATGCATACACAAATGGGCATGGCTGTGTTCCAATAAAATTTCAAATACACTGAAATCGAAATCATATTAATTTTATGTGTCAACAAGTCTTCTGATTTTTTTCAACCATTTAAAAATGCTGAAACAATGGACTGCACAAATACAGGTGAGGGGTGAATTTGAATCCACTGTGTACCAGGGCTGGTTTGTGACCACTTGTTTGGAGTGCAGGTGAACCTTGGATGAATCCCAGTTCCACTGTGTGCTCACTATGTAACCTGAGGATTACTGACCCCATGCCTGAGTTTTCTCATCTACAGAATAGGGCCAGGATACTCCCAGAGAGCTGTGTGGACAATCATAAAGGTTGAGGAGCTACGGAAAGCCGGAGGCTGTCACAATGCTTTGGAGAATGGAGAGTTCCGTTGTCTCTGGTCCTGGGAGGGACAGGGTAGAGCGTCCCTCCTGAGAAGTGTGGGTTTCCCCCCTTACACCAGCACTGCAGTTCCAGGCCCAGACATCCAGGAAGGGTAGCAGTGGCCTAGCCACCCTTCCTCGTGCGGGCCTAGAGCTCAGAGCACAAACATGCCTGTGACAGAGAAGCCCATTTGCTGAGTTCTCTTTGGCAGGGAGAGTAAAAGCCAGGCAGCTCCAGCAAGACTGGAATGTCTTGGAATGGCTCTGGATTTGCCCCAAAGTCCCGTCTCCTGCCAATCCCTGCCAGGCCTGTCTCCAGGGCCCTCCCTGCAGATGTCCACTTGCAGCTGCCCTGCCATCAAGAGGAAGCTACAGGGAGTATCAGCCCAGGGGATTCGTGCAGCGCTGGCTTCCCCAAACCCACACCCATTTGGATGTTGAACAGGACGAGCGTGGCCGGCCAAGTCACCCGTCTGATCATTTTGCCACGTTGTCGGGTTATTTTTTTCCACCGAAGAGAGGTTAGGTTTAAACAGCAACAGTTCTGCAGCCAAGTGTGACTGAGCTGAAGTTTCATTTCCACATTCCTGCAGGATTCCGTCCTTTTCCCTCTTTTTGAAAAAATGAGGAGTTACCCAAAGACAGATACTCCTCAGCAGTTTTAGTTTGTGATACGACATAGCCAGAGTTGCAAAATCAGAATATGAGCTGACATTTTTGTTTAACTTAGTTAAGTCATTACAAGGCCCCTACTCTTTGTAGGCGCCATTCTGAGAGTTTCACCCAACACGTATGTCATCCCTCCCAGCAGCCAAAAAGGAGACACAATTATTCTTATTGCCAAAAGGAGGAAAACGAGTCACAGAGACGGACAGACTGTGCCTCAGGTCACAAGCTAGGAGGTGGTGGC